TATGACTGAAACATTATGGTGTATACCAGAAGTTGACACATTGTAACTATACTTCATTTAAAAATAATAATAATAATAATAGAAAATATTATGAACTGAAAGAAAATGTAAACAATATGCCAAAATCTGGGATGTAGCTCAGAAGGAGGAATAGGAAAAGAAGATAAAAGAGGAGGAAACCAACCTAGAAACAAGGTTTTTCAAAGGCTGAGGGAAACAAACATTAGAATTGAAACTGTTAATTTCCTTTCTGAATTATTTTGCATTTGAGTGTCAGATCAGCTGTTTTGACTTAAATGAATTAAGTTGTGTATCCCTGTCTCACTTTAAGATGGAACTAGCGATAGCAAAACAGACATGATGAATCAATAGATTACATTTGTTTTTGTTTTGCTTTGTATAACTTAGGAAGAGAAAACTAGAATTTATAGAAATTTAACTAAGCAAGTCTTGCTAGGTAGAAAGACAACATAAATTATCATGTTTCTCCGTACAGCCTCGACTACATTTGATAAATAATTATCAACAACACTAAACTAACATTTTTTCTTTCTTTCAGGGACCCAGAGGTGAAAAAGGCTTCAGAGGTGAAACTGTAAGTTTAACTAAATTTGTGGTTTTAGTATTGCTTGTAGATACTAGGTTATAAGCTCCATGAAAGGAAGGACCTTTTTTGATTTTTTTCATTATTATACCTCTGATATTTGTGATAGGAAAACAAAAGTACAGTTTTCAGAAAGTACAGCTAACCTATATGGTATATTGCAGTGAAAGCTTGTAAACCCTAAACATATTTAAGAACCTTGCAGTCACATTCTTTGCAGATCAACGTGTGAAATGGAATATCTGCCTTGTCAGGCATCAGGAGAGGAGATGTGAGCCTTCTTCACAAACCAGATCAAGAGCACTGTTAAGTCACTTCAGATACACATCACTGTGTCCAGTCAGCACCCAAGAGGGCTGCAAAGCAGAAGCAAATCATTAGGTCTTTATTTCAGCCAACTGGAAACAGTGGGTCAGACAAAAGGTACACAGCATTTTCAGGACTAAATGGCTTCTACTGGCACTATTTCCTACTTTTCTAGGATGTCAAGTCTTCCACGTTAAAGAAGATATTTTGTAAAGGGGCCATTTTCCCCGCAGAACTTATTAAAGCAGCAGCCATAAACAGAGGGCAGGCGTGGCATGAAATGAGGGGTATGAGGCCGAGTACAGAAGGCACATAGGAATAAGCTTGCAGATAGCACTGAAGTCTTGATGAAAAGGTAATGAGATTATGCAGTGACAGCTGAGATTGTTGCTGTTCGCCATGGAGTATGCCTGGGGCTCAGAACAGGTAAATTGTAGTTATTTTAGTTTGCTGAAGAAGGGAATTTATGTGATGTCAGATAGCCTAAGAATCCTCAAAGGGCATTAAAACAGATGTGTTTAATTTGCAGGAATATGTCCCTTATATTTGCTCAGCCGACTTACTCTAACAGGAAGCAAGAATGTATGTACAGAGTGAAGCTACATATCCCCCAAGAGGAGTAGAAAAGGGAAAGAAAAAATGGGCTTGGAATTAGCCCATTTTCCATCCCTGTCTCCAACTGCCTCCCTGACCTATCCTCTCCAAGTACTGTGGCCAGAACATAAGCTCCCTCAGGATTAGGAAG